AGGGAGCCCGATGCGGGACTCGATCCCAGGACCCTGAGATCATGACCTGAGCCGAAGGCAGACGCTTAACCATCTGAGCCACCCAGGCGCCCCTCTCTTCCTCTTCATATAAGGACACCAGGATACCAGTCCTATTGGATTAAGAGTTCTTTCTTATGACCTCATTTCACCTTTAGGACTTTCTTATAGGCTCCATCTTCAAATTCAGCATGTATACCAGCCCAATACTCACTGTGTTGCCTTGGAAAAATTTACCTGACTTGACTGTCCTACATCCTGTCATTACATGCTCCACCTCTAAGTGCTCATGGTTGGAAACTGTCCCACGTGGTGTGAAGTAGTTTGAAAGCCACGTGAGAGTCAAGGGGAGCAGGGCACTGGTTTGGCCGTATCTTAAGGCTCAGCCCAATTCCTGTGTTTACCCGCTCATCTGTATACACATCAATAGCTGACGCTGTGTTCTATTTTCTCTAGGTACCACACAGCCAGGAAGCAAGATTGAGAGCACTTCGAGGTAAGAGAAGAAAAGCTGAGAAAGGTTAAGTAACAGTTTGAGACTTTTTATTTTTCCTGTGCAAATCCCTACTCTCTGCAAAATGAGATTCCATCACATATAAATCTTGATAAACCGATTTTGTCAGAGCACAGTGTATCGGAGACTTCTATCGTCCAGGAAGAGATATTTGTTCTATGCAAATCATCCTTGCCCAGAGCCTGAATGCTGGGGGTAGAGTCCAGCAGCCCATGCGTGGAGGGTCTCCAGATGGTGCCGGGAAGGCTCTCCCAGCAGGATGATGGAAACGCTCGGGGAACCGGGGGATGGTCTGGGGTGCCTCGGGATGGACGGTGGCAAACACTAGGATGAACGGATGTGACTTTGCCTCTTCAGCTTTCCTGCTTGTTCCTTTTATGGACTTGCCTTCTTTCTCCAGCATCAGGTATTGGCTGCTTCTTGGGACCATGTAGAAATTTACTTGTTGTGGTTCCTGCCGGAGGCGATACCGCCCCCTCCCCCAAGCCATCCAGCCTGGCTTCCTTTTTGAATTTGGGGTGCAGTTTCAGTAGTAACAAAGAACATTCTTGTGCCTTTCTTTGTCTGGATTCGAAGAACAAAGCCCCTTGTTCTCCCCACATACGCTTCTCTCTGATGTCTGGATTCCCAATGGGACATATGTGATTCAACATCCAGGATTCCTCCAGGTCATGCCATGTCTAACAATCTGCATCTCACACGTGCAATGTGTATTTTTCAGAAGAGACTTGCTTGGAAGAGAAGACAGTAGTACCCCTCCAGGCTCCTAAACTTTTTTCCGGGGTTGAGCCAGCTTGTAAAAGTAATCAGTTTCTAGGACCTGAAGGAAATGTGGATATTGAGTTGATTGATAAGAGTGCAAACGGATACAGGTAAGAATCGAAGATGCTGATTGTTTCAATATAATTCCCCTCTAAAGGAAGTACATGCTGTGTGATATTTACATGTATACACCTACATGGTAGGATATGTGATCCATCCCTTAAGACATCTGAAATTTTGTCAATATTCTCTGTATTCTATGCACTGAGTTGATATGTTAATTTCAACATATGTAGAATACAGAGAAATTGGGGCTCAGAGAGTTTATTTTTTAATTTTTTTAAAGATTATTTATTTATTTATTTGAGAGAGAGAGACAAAGATAGCAACAGAGAGCATGAGCGAGAAGAGCGAGCACGAGGGGGGAGGAGAGGGAGAAGCAGGCTCCCCGCTGAGCAGGGAGCCGGATGCGGGGCTCGATCCCAGGACCCTGGGATCACGACCTGAGCTGAAGGCAGACACTTAACTGACTGAGCCACCCA